TACTACCAAGTCTCAAAAGTAATTCACAAGTTTTAGATTTTGTTGTAGCAGCAACCACACTTCTGATCTCAGCTTTCAACATATATAACTACTATTCCTAAGTTTAGTGACATAAAAGCAATGATAATATTTGCACACCATTTTGTGGGTTGAATTCAACAGGACACAGTGGGGATGGTCTTTCCTTGATCCAGAATGTCTTCTGTCTCATCTGGGATGGATCAAACAGCTGGAGGTGAACAGGAAATAACTAGAACAGCTATGCTGGGCTCATATGGCTACAGTGTTGTTGTTTTGTTTGTTTTTGTTTTGTACAGGGGATTGAACTTGGGACCTTGCACTTGTGAGGCAAAAGTAAGCGGCAGAACCACTGACCTAAATCCCCAGCCCGCCTAGAGTTTAATTTTCCTGGTTGATTTTGTTGTTTGGTTGGTTCTTTGCTCCATGGCTAGCTTGGGTTTACTTAAAGAATGGTCATCTCTGAGAAGTTAGACTTCTTACATGATAGCTGACTTCTTTTGGAAGACTTGGAAGCTACCAGGGGAAAAGAATGTACTCTACCTCTTATTAAGGAAATATATGTGCATATAAAGAGGAAGAGTTGATGGAGCCATTATTGGAGACTATTAACCAGAGAGTTTTCTGCTTTGGGATTCTTCATACATTCCTTATCAAAACCTATAAGAAGTACATGTGACCTAGGGAATTTATATATGTATTATTTTAAGACACAACCCTTATTACATGAAATGTGCTCCCATTTTCTCATCTACTCATTTATTCTTTTAAATTGCAAGTGAGGTTTCAAAGTTATTTTACAATTTGTGGGTTGAGATGAGTAATTCAAAATACAATGATTTTGATGAAAGACTTATTGTATAGATAAGAAAAGTAAATGTAAATGCAAAGGTTCTTCAAATGAATTTGCATAATGTCTTGGACCTTGAGTGAGGCAGAGGAGGGTTACAGTCTTGGGTTTTGGTTAAGTCAGAGCTCTACCATGCCACTCACCTTTCAGCCCATACCGCTAAGGCAGTTGCACAACTTGCTTTGTTTTTTTGGCACCCAAACATTAACTTGAGGTCTCTAATATTTTTGTCACAAGATCCAGGATTGTAACATAGGTCCTGCAACTCCAAACCCAATACTTTATTCACAAGAACACATTTCCTTTTTCCTATTGTAAACAGATCAAGGGGATTTACAGTTTTCATCCTTGAACAAACGTTGTAATTAAAAAAAATTGTGGATAGTATTATGGGACTTGTGAAAATAAAAATATCTCTCAAAGCCGAGGAATTGTGAGTTGTGAAAAGAGAGTTATTGTGAGCACAATTCTGCTGAAAGTGGGAAATGTGTCTCTCACTTTGAGAATCAGTCTATTCCAGTGTCACACAGTGTGGGCCTCACTTCCCTCCTATAGATTCACATTTCCCAGTTTGAATTCCTTACTTTAATATATGTCTAGGACAGAATATAAAAAATCATTGTTGTGCTTTTCGAGTGTGGCCAGAGGAGATTTTTTTAAGAGATACTCTGTGCCATGAATAAGACAATGAGTGGTACACTTTTCCTGGTCCTTGTTTGCCCAGTTACAAAGGATATGCAAGCCTTAAGGTAGGAGATTTTCTTTTAAAATGCACACGTTAAGGAATTCATGTTTATTCACAGGTAATATATGGAGCTCAAGCTAAATTATCTTTAAGAGTCCTTCAAATTCTTGGAGTCTGTGCTCACCCAGTCTTTCCACGAGAGAAAATACTGACCTCTGTTGTTTTTATTTTTCACCTCTTAGGTCAAGAGCACTGACAGATACTAAAGCATGATTTAATGTTACACTTTCTTTCTAATAAGAAAAATGTACTTCTGAAGGATAGATTGACAAAGGACATGGCGAATTTCCAAAATTAACTGTGAAAGACAGATCATCTGGGTGTGACTGAAAGCCGTGCATAACCTTTGTGTTCAAATACCTCATTTCAAAAATGTCACTTTGTGCTTATTCAATGCCACTATCATTATGCTATTTTAAGCACTAAAATTTGTGTTCTGAAGCTGAACAGGAATTATTGCTTCTATCTTTTGGCTTATTAGAAATAATTTAAAGTTCATTTAAGAGTGATACAAATCACCTTTTTATTTTGGATGAATAAGGTTACGTGTTGAAATTTGGAATGCACATTTTATTGTCAGCATTATTTTAGCATGTATGTATGGAGTTCAAGACTATTTTTAAGTATCAAGAAATTACAATTTAACATGAATCTTTTTACATTTTAATTTCCTAGAGTGAATATAAAGTAGAATAAATTATGAGATGATGTTGCCTAAAATTTCAGACACTTCTTTATATAGATAAACCTTTTTAAAGCATACATATGACGGATGAAACATATTTTCATTGCTGTACAAATTATTTACTAAATACTTGCACCATGATAAAACTAGATGATAAATGAGGAGAAATATTAGTATGCTAGAAAACAAATTGTTTTGTGCTCTGATTTTCCGGAGAGAACTATGAGTCTGTAAGAAGAGTGCAGAATGAAAATCAGATCGTGTACAGAGAAAAAGCCCCCTAGTTCTAAAGGAATGGATCTGTTTATTTATCTGAGTCAACTGTAATTTAGTTAACATTTTATTCTCTAAGTAATTCTCACTCTTACATTTTAAAAAAAATGATCAGTACTGCCGGAGATTTAGCTCAGTGGCATCGCGCCTGCCTTGCAAGTGCAAGGTCATGAGTTTGATCCCCAGTACCGAAAAAAAAAAATCATCAATACTAAGGAGGAGGACCAGGAAAAGAACTGCTTGAATTATATAACTGCATGCATTAGGCTTTCTTCAACAAAAAGGAAAGGGAAGGGGCAAGAATGCTGCCTAGGTAATGAGGGAATGAATCCTCAAAGAATTGCTATACAGCAGCTAAGGAAGTGGACTAGAGTAGAGAAGGGAGCAGATATGCCAAAGGAAAGGACAACAACGTATAATGAACACCCAAAGACAAATTGGGTCTAAGTGCCGTGTGTCCTGGCATGAGCACAGGTTAGAGAAGCAGCTAAGAAGAGGCAGAATAAGAGTATGTGGTAGAAGGGTGCCCTTGGGCAAGTTTTGAGGATGAGCATTTCCGTAGGCAGCTGGGACATTGCTTCAGGAAGTAAGACGGCAGGGGACAAGGGACAAGAGAAATTTACAGGGCTGCCTAGGAATACGTATTAATTCTTAAAATAACAAAGCTAATTAAAGTAGTCCAGTGCCAAAGAATGACGTGAAAGTAGGTGCTCACCTTCCAACTCTAAAGGATCTTTAACAAAGTTCATTCAAGCAATTTTCTGTGGCTTTGGTGGCTCAGGCAGCGAAGACAAATAAGTGGGTGATTTACATTCTAGAAATGTTTTCCTTCTACCCAGGTATGGCGGCATACCTTTAATCCCAGCACTTGGGTGGCTGAGGCAGGAGAATTGCCATGAGTTCAAGGCCAATGTGAGCTACATAGTGAGATCCTGTCTCAAAAACAAAACGAGAGAGAGAGAGAGAGAGAAGAAAGATAGAAAGTATTCCTTTGTTGAGAGGTCTTTATCTGGTTTGTAGACTTAATTCATTTTCTGTACATTCTGGAGAGAGAGAAAGAGAGACAGAGACAGAGAGAGAAAGAGAGCGAGACAGACAGACAGGACAGAGAGACTTTATTCTCATAATGACTTCATCCTGCTCTTCTGATCTTGTCTAAACCTAATTATCTGCTAAAGGAGAGAATGCTGCCATCATATTGGGGTTTAGGGCTTCAACACAGAATTTTTGGTTGTTGGGAAGAGGAACACAAGTGTGTACTAATTCATGCCTGAGAAACCTCCCTCTCTGTAGGCTGTAAGTCATAGAGAAGCCTGATTATTTCCTCGGGTTTTGCACCCAGAAGCTATACTGTCAACTTAAATTGCATGCTACCTTCTAGTGTAAGTGACTACATTCTGTCACATTGCATAATGATGATAATCATTATAATCATATATCAACACAATGAGATAATGAGATAATAACAAGACTCCACTGGCTTCCCTGCATGCTAAACAATGGGTTTCAGTCACAGGCATTTTCCAGTTTTCTCCACCTTAGTGGATGGTGTCAGAAGTTTACGTTCTTTCAAGAGGGGGTGGAGGAAGGAGGAGACTTCAGAAAGGGGATACATTGATACACATATCTGCTGTGAGTTTCCAGCAGCTATTCTTGAAGCTTAGACATCATTCCCTGGGTTACTGTCTTTTAAAACTCTCCAGGGAGTTGTAATGTGTCAGTGGAATATGTCTCATAAATTCATCTCAAGACAGTCTTTGGTGTATAGTAAGAGATCTTATGAACAAAAACAGACAAATACACCATAATCAACAGTACCTGCAGATGGGGAGATTAACTTGTCTAGCCTCATAAGTTTCTTTGACATCAATTTCCCCTGAACTGTGGGATCCATCTTCATGGAAGCTATTTATCTGAACCAAGGCAAAGATTAAGTAAGTCCAGCAGGTCAGGGAATGTTTATCCTAAATGAAAGCGAGATACGATCATGTGTCACAACCACATCAGTAAAAAGGCTCAAACCTGTGGTGTTTTGTGACCATTTGTGCTAACAGACTCTGGATTATTTTTATTCTCCTGAGTTTCTTTCTCACTTATTTCTTGCAGGTTATTTATGATAAAGTTTGTGATTACTGTTAATCAACAAGCTTCATTTCCTCTTAAAAATTCTAAGGTAGAGAAGTGAATAGTCTTGGCCCTTTAATGCACTTATCGGCTGGATTAGTCAGTCTGAAGTCCAGAATTCCTATCATGCCTGCCTGATTTTTCTGCATATGGGAACATTTGTCTCTGTGGTTGATTTTTGACATAACCCTCTAGCCAGAAATGAAGTTGACCATCCCTACTGAAACTTAATAATGCTGAGTGCAAATCATTTTTGAAAGCCTTCCTATTATATTTAACTATTTTACTACTTTCTCTTCTTTTAGTGTCAGCCAAACCGAGACCCCACAGTGATGAATATTCCAAGAAGATCCCCCCTCCGAAGCCTAAAAGGAATCCCAACACTCAGCTGAGCACATCTTTCGATGAGACCTACATCAAAAAGCATGGGCCACGGAGGACGTCGCTCACGCGGGACTCCTCGCTCTCCCAGGTCAGCAGCCCCGCTGGGGACCCCGAGGAGGAGGAGCCTGTGTACATAGAGATGGTGGGCAACCTCCTCAGAGACTTCAGGAAGGAGGATGAGGACCAGAGTGAGGCCGTCTATGAGGAGATGAAGTACCCCATTTTCGACGACCTGGGCCAGGATCCCAAGTGTGACCTGGACCGTCATAGCTGCTCCTCGCAGTGTGCCACTCCCACGGCGCCTGACTTGGACTTGGCCAAGTCTTCAGTGCCATGCACGCCCAAGGGTCTGCTCTGTGACATCCCCCCACCCTTCCCCAACCTGCTTTCTCACAGGCCCCCACTGCTGGTGTTCCCCCCGGCTCCTGTGCACTGCTCCCCCAATTCCGACGAGTCTCCGCTGACCCCCCTGGAGGTCACCAAGCTCCCCGTGCTGGAAAACGTGTCTTACATGAAGCCACCACCAGCCGGAGCGCCACCACCCTCTGGCCACGCCAAGCTGGACAAGGACCAGGCTGGGACCCTGGGCCCCGCCCCGGCCGCTGCTGTGTTGTCTTCATCCCCTCCACCCCCTTCCACTCTGTACCGAACCCAGTCTCCCCACGGATACCCTCAAAGTCACTCCAGCTCCCCGTCGCCCGTCAGCATGGGCCGATCCCTGACCCCGCTTAGCCTCAAGAGGCCCCCCCCTTACGACGCCGTGCATTCCGGCAGCCTCTCCCGGAGCTCGTCCTCAGTGCCTCCTGCCACCCCCAGGCCCGTGTCGCAGGATGGGGCCAAGATGGTCCATGCCGCGGTGAACACCTATGGGTCGGCTCCCAGCAGTTCTCGATCCAGGACACCCACGAGTCCCTTAGAAGAACTGACCAGCCTCTTTACCTCAGGACGCAGCCTGCTGCTGAGGAAATCATCCAGCGGCCGGCGCTCCAAAGAGCCGGCAGAGAGTAAGTGTGCACGGCCTAGAGAGGCAGAGAGTGAGCGTGCGTGGCCTAGAGAGGCAGAGAGTGAGTGTGCACAGCCTAGAGAGGCAGAGAGTGAGTGTGTACAGTGTAGAGCCCCAGAGAGCCAGCGTGCTAGGTCTAGAGCCACAGAGAACATGCATGCACGGTCTAGGGCCTCAGCGAGTGAGCGTGCATGGTCTAGGGCCTTAGCGAGCGAGCTTGCACGTCCCAGGACCTTAGAGAGTGTGCGTGCATGGTCTAGGACCTTAGAGGGTGAGTGTGCAAGGTCTAGGACCTTAGGAAGTGGGCGTGCAAGGGGTGGGACCTTAGAGGGTGAGCACACATGGTCTAGGATCTTAGAGGGTGAGCGTGCAAGGTCTAGGACCTTAGAGAGTGGGCGTGCAAGGGCTAGGACCTTAGAGGGTGACCACGCATGGTCTAGGATCTTAGAGGGTGATCATGCAAGGTCT